CAGGAAGGAAAAATGGGCATTTTCGAAGGCTCATATCTCAGTGAATAATTTTTTTCAGTCAATGGGAGTTGGAACACATCATTAGTATGGTCAGGCAATCATATTAAGCAAATAAAAAAATACCTCAAAAATGCATTGAACTTACCCTTTAAATATTTTTTCTAGCAATAGTATGGCTTCTATTTCCTATCCATTGACTTGTAATATTAAGAACCCTTGTACATGTACATACCGTATTTGCTCGATTAAACACCCGGGCGTTTATTTCTTAACAGAGAAAAATTCAAGTAAAAAAACAAAAAAGCCCATAGTGGATTCAAACCCGCAACCTTCTAGCATTCCAAACTGTACTCCAACAGTTAGACTATCTGGGACAATATAAATCCTATGGCACATATGCTGGGTGAAATATGCGTATCTGTAGTTAGAAAATATTTTGTCATGGGCGTTTATTTGAGCAGGGAGTTTATTCGAGCAAATAAGGTTCATATGTACATGTAATTCTAATATAATTCAAATTCCCCCTCACAGGTTCCTGGATTATTTGAAGCCAATAAATTCACAACCCTCATGACCCAGTACAAGGAGGGGTCTCAAAAGGAAGGACTGATGCTTGATTCCTCAGAAGAGCTCTACAAATGGTTCATTGATCAGATAATGAGAAACCTTCACGTGGTATTCCCTATAAACCCTTCCTCTGAGGGTCTGAAAGACAAAGCTGCTACCTCTCCTGCTTTATTCAATTGTTGTGTGTTGAACTGGTTCAGTGATTGGTCCACTGATGCTCTGTATCAAGTTGGATATGAGTTTACTAATAAAGTTGATCTTGATAAATCAGACGTAAGTACATGTGTATATATAGATATATATATATATATATATACATATATACACTATGTACATGTACATCAATATATAAGCCAAGAATACATTGTATATGCATGTGTAAGATTCAAAGAGCTTATAAGTTATAGACACTTCTTGTTTGTGATACAAATATTTTGTTATCCATTTCACTTTTTTTAGGTGTTGATAAGTCCTCCTATACTGATACTTTGGTACCAAATTTACTAGCCTATTCCCAGCCTCACATTTGGTCTCACAATCAAGAGATCTTGAGGCTAAGGGTATACTAAACATTGAATCAAAGTGAGTCACAATGTAAATTTTAGGTAGCTATAAAGCTTTTGATTATTCAGCTTTCC